ATTTTTCAAAAGGTTTAGATAATAGTGAACAATTAGATGCTATCTTACTAGATTTTTCCAAGGCTTTTGACAAAGTTTACCACCATAATTTGCTTAAAAAATTAAAATATTTCGGCATTAATGGTCCACTGCATCAGTGGATTAAAGATTTTCTGATAGGGAGAGAACAAACTGTAATAATAAAGTGCTCTAAATCAACACCAATAACAGTAAACTCAGGTGTACCTCAAGGAACAGTCTTGGATCCACTACTATTTTTAATTTACATAAATGATTTACCAAATTGCATTAGTTCAGGAACAAAAGTCAGATTATTTGCAGACGATTGCATAATATATAGAACAATAAAAACAACACAAGACACAGATATTTTACAAAGAAAATTAGATGAATTACAGAAATGGGAATCAAATTGGAGCATGTCTTTCCACCCAGAAAAATGTCAGTTGTTAAGAGTAACAAAAAAACTAAAACAAATTAATTCCACTTATCTTATTTATGGCAAAAGAGCAACACAGACTAAAAACGCAAAATACCTAGGTGTTATAATAAATAAAAAAAAACTGTCATGGAATCCACATATTGATGAAACTATAAAAAAATCAAACAAAGCATTAGGGTTTATTAAAAGAAATTTCTATAAATCAAATAAGAACATAAAACTAAAATATTATTTAACCTTGGTTAGGCCAATAATAGAATATGCATCCACCGTTTGGGACCCCTCAACTCAAGAAAACATTAAGAAACTGGAACAAACACAAAATAGAGCAGTGAGATTCATAACAAACGAATATTCACATTTGACTAGAGTAACACCATTAGTAAAATCACTAAATTTAGGAAGCCTTCAGGACAGAAGACTCAAAAGTAAAGTAGCAATTATACATAAAACACTGAACCATAATCTTCAAATACAAAAACAAAATCTAATAAAATACTCTGAAAGACACAAAAATAAAGGCACATTCCTCGTCCCATATGCTAGGACAAATTTGTACAAATACTCCTTCTTCCCTAGTGCTATTAGAGCATGGAATGGGTTGCCTGAGCTAGCCAGAAAAACCAGTGACTTGGCAGAATTTAAGTCATTGGTTAATATGCATGACTAAATGCATGACGCGTAGGACGTAATCATCTTCTTTTTTGAAGTAACGTCTGTATTATATAAGAATGATCTTTAAGAAGGATATTACCAAAAGGCAAGTCGTAGACCGGAAGTTCTTTAACCCAAGGTGAAGGTAACACAAGAGCTGCGACCATTACTACGACTTGGTAGTGCTTTTTAGGTAGCGCGCGAGTCATCGAATCCGGCTAATAACCACTCGAGATTTCTTCATATTCCTATTGTGTAATTGCCACAAAGCCGTGTAAGAAGCGTCCAATCAGATGCCCACCTTTAAGACGTTATGGCGGACTTCATAAACTGGCTTATCACACAGAGGAGATAAATAAAATAAAATGCTAGACCAGGAAATCCCGACGGAGGCTGTGTTCGTTACCCGTTGTTGAAATATTTGGTCCCACCACCGGACGTTTCCACCAAGGGACCTGGAATCCTCGAAGTTTTAGCTGCATATCTCTTATCCAACAAGCCTTGTAGGCATAGATCTTTAACTCTTTCTCTCCGTAATTATTTACCTCATTCTGGTGGGATCAACATTGGTATCGTCAGTTAGGAGAGAAAGGGTTAATCACACATTTGAACATACGTTTGAAGTCTTCATTTCAAAACAAACAAACACAAATAGGAATGAGTAGGCCTTTTCTACAGACTTTCAATATCGGTGTAGAAAGGTATATCATCATTATCAACATCATCATCTTTCCTTTGCGTTCCTCGTGGAACATAGGGCCTCAGTCAAAATCACTCTCCATGGTCTCTTGCTAGTCTTTCATGGCTTCCCAGCTCTTTCCTGTCCTCTCTGCTTCATCTAGTGCACTGCGTCTTCCTCTACGTCTTGTGCCCTAGGGTTCCACTCTAAGATAACATAGAATGGATCAAGTGTAGTCGCTGAATGATCTCTTTATGTTGTGTCTGTTCTGTTTATGTGTATGTTTCTGTTGTGTTGTCTTTATATGAGAGAAGAGTCACATCTAATTGCCATGAGGATCAATAAAGAAGTCCTAGTCTTAGTCTTAAGGGCTGTCTAGCTCTGTTGTTGGTATCTTTTCCAAGGTTGTGAACAATCCATCTCCACTTCCTCTCTAAGCAGAAATGTATATACTACAAGTTAAATCACAAGAGGTAAAATGATTGGATCATATCCTCTCAACTTTCAACTTTAGGATGGCTGCCTAGTCTTGCGGTTTGCTCGCTGTACTGTCGTTTGGACTTTTCGATAGTCCCGGGTTCGAACCCTGCCTGCTCCCATCCCATGTCGTCCTGAGGGAGGTTTGGACTAGGAAGTAAACTATCTTCAACTCTGAAGATCTTCAGCATCCGAAACACGTAGAACATTTTACAAACATTTTACTGATTGCTTCTCTATAGCGCATTCTTCATGGTTACAGCATGGTCAGTGCATAGTCAGTGCATGGTCAGAGCGCTATGGCCTGTGGTTCAATCTCTTTGAGGACCAGTGTGAGGAGGAAGTGTCAGGAGAAAGTTTCGCGCTGCCTGCTCTCAGCAAACACAACTCTGGTGAGGTAGGGATTTGAACTCGAGCCTCACTAATAGGTAGGTAAGCTGTTTTAGCCTCTCAGCCAGACATCCCACTTAAATCCACTCATCGCATCATTCAATATTCTGTCTCAGTCTCGGTACCCTTTCATTCCTTTGTCTCTACCTGGCACATGTAATGGCATGTTAGTCACTAGAGTACATGTATCACACTAGTCAATAGCCCCCCCCCCCACACACACACACTAAAGAATTTTACTTTTCAAGAGACGATTTTTTCCCTTTCCAACTTGTCATGTGACTTATGTCGCCAATCCTTGACACGGCTGCCATCACTGGTTGGGCATCTGTAATCAACAGGCGCTGTTACACTTTCACCCTTCTTTCTACTTCTGGTGTGTATGCTATCAGTAATCCAGGGCCCTTCCTTTATGCTTGGTCTCCTAACCTCTGTTGGAGTGCCCAGTTTTCCCAACTGTTAGTGTCATTTTTCAACAGCTTCATTTTGCATTTCCATACATCAGTATAATTTAAAAATGAGATCATCATACAGAACGCCTTGTTGTAATCAACCTTGTGGCATTCAATGAACATGACCAAGTCAACCTAATCATCTGCTGTTGATAACACACACATACACACACACACACACAGAAAGAGAGAGAGAATTAAAGTTGTTCCCCTTTCAGACCTTGCGATCTATAGGGCAGAGGATGTTAAGATCATTTGTTTCTGTGGCCAATGGTTAACGAGCAGGGTGTCATTGGGCCAGCACAACGACCAGATGCCTTTACTTTCGCCAACTAAAGCCAGGTACCCATTAAAACTCCCGAAATTCAAAACTCCGGTCTTCACTGAGATTCAAACCCAGGACCCCAGGTTTGGAACCAAGCGCTTAACCCCTCAGCCACCGCGCCCGAGAGAGAGCAACACCTCTTTATACACAGTGTACAATGTAAGTGCCATCTTTGTAAAATGAATTACTCAGTTTCAGCAAACTATTAGAGCTAGGATCATTCATAAGTCGATTTCCTACTTGGCTGTGTGGCATTTAAATTCGATGAATGAATACATATGATAACACTCCGGTCTGTCATCTCGATGGTCCCGTGTTCGAACCCAGTCCGCAGCCTCCTCTGCCGTCCCGGCCCGCCCTGAAGGTGGGTTGAACCAGGACGAAATAATATACGTAACTAAAAAGTCAAAGTCATTGAAATCTTATCAAGTAAATCACCCGTCTTTTCATAGGGTTGTATACTTAGCATGTGCTATACTTTATATATATTATATTTGTTTGTATTATATTTGGTATGTATTATACTAGGTATTATATTTGATATTATACTTAGAATGTATTTTACTTGGTATTATACTTGGTATGTATTATACTAGGTTTATATTATATTTGTTTCTATATATTTGATATGTATTATTCTAGTTGTTATACTTGATATGTATTAAACATGATATGTATTATACTTAGTATTATACTTGTTATTATACAAGTGACTTATGATATAAGGATTTTTTTTTTAGTTATTACAGTCTTGCATTGTTTGAGTGTCGACTTTGTCACTTAAAATTAATGAAATACTGACAGGAAAGTTGTGGCCTGTTCACTCTAATGTTCACTGTAGCCATAACTGGTTGTCTATTTGAAAACATTGACAGCCTCAAGTAAAATTGGTGGTATATTAGCAACTGTGAAGCTATGATGTAAGTTAGTGAATTAATAAGGCTTGTCTTCAGCCCGAAGCTTAATGAGGAGTGCAGAATTACACGTCGCTACGCAGCCCCAGCTGTGACCTACATATTTTGCCACACTCCTTCACGAACACGAAAAGGTTTGCTGGTAATTTGGTGAACACAATATAAGGCATGGTCTAAATTACTGAAACAAAAAAAACAACAATAATTGAATCATTAAAGAAAGCCTTTATTAATCCAAAAATGGCATACTAATTTAATATATAATTGCAAAAGTTTACAATATTTGTATTAATTAAGATTATTGAGGTAGGATCCTACAACTACCAATAAATAGAAATAATAAAAAATAATTGTCCATACACTGATATCTTTGAAATATAAATATATAAATTTAATTAATTGAAAGCAGATATACATGCAAGTATGTAAGTACACACACACACACATATGTATATATATATATATATATATATGTATATATATATATATATGTATATATATATATATGTATATATATATATATATATATATATATATATATATATGTATATATACATATATATGTGTATATATACATATATATGTGTATATATATATATATGTATATATATATATATGTGTATATATATATATATATATATATATATATAATATATAGAGAGAGATAGATAGATAGATAGATAGATAGATAGATAGATAGATAGATAGATACCCTAGAGCGAGAAAGAGAGATTATATCATAACAGCATATGTAAAGCTGTTATATATTTTATGGATATGTATTAATAAAGAATAAATACGCATTTTTTTCTTAAGCAAAATAATCTCAAAAACAATACCCCAATGAATATCTTTGAACTACTAGATCTAATACAATGAATAACGTAATGCTTAGTGATACCAAAAAAAAAAAAAGTAGAGATGTATTTTGAGCCACTGGAATTATACAGGTGAAAGGTGAAAAGAAATTTACTAGAACTTAACTGACATAACATTGCCTCAACGTCAGAACACTTTAACAAGGTATGGGACCCTCCGTTTATACTGCTGCCCCCGAAAATTAAAACAGAATTATGAATATTAACAAATGGTAACCATATCAAGTTTTAAAAAACAATTATATAGTGTACATTGCATATTCTGCATTGGATTGGGCAAGCAGTAATAATAATAATTGTTTTTCTATTAATATATCAGAAAATAAGTGTTGTCTCCCTCTCTCTCTCTCTATTTTATCAACATGTGTTTATATTTATGAATATGAAACATAAGTGACGCGACATATATGAGAATTTTGTGTCCAGCACATAAGTAGATATGTAGAAGTAAAAAAAATATAGAATATTGCATTGGCCAAGGTTTAAAACAATGTAAAAATCCAAGTGACCTGCACCGTGTCAGAGACTATATGAACAAAAAAGTGTGCAAATAGTCTCTAAATGCACAACCATACACAACCATACACAAACATACACAACCATACACAACCATACACAACCATACACAAACATATACACAAACATACACAAACATACACAAACATACACAAACATACACACATTTAGGGCAATGGAACTAAAACAACAAAAAATCGCGAACCTTTTTACAATTTGAAATCGTATTCTTATGGAATAATTTAACTCTTTCTCTCCTGATTGACAATGTCAACGTTCATTTGACCCCATTAAACTAAATTAAGTTGTGGATTTATAAGCTTTAAATTGTGTTGTGTAAAAAAAAGCATGATTTCTACAACAATTAAATACCAAATATAACATTTTCTGATAACAAACAAAAAAGTTTGTGAAGTTTAATCCTAACAGTGTAGTGAATTACAAATGAGCAAAACGAATAACACTATCGAAACGAGGAGTATAATTGCGGAGTGAAAGAGTTAAAGGAAAGAGGTTTAATCTAAAAAAACATAGTATCTATAAGGTTGGGTGAGACATTGCAAAATGACATTAAACGTACCATATTAAATATCTCGGGCGGTTCCTGGGCATCGGGTTTTATAACGTTTCGTCTGCTTATGTGACACTTAACGCGCCGAAATAAATGTTGGGATGACGCCATTGACATGTCAATAAAAAATCAGGAGCTTCAGTGGGATTCAAACCAAGACCCTCACTTTAGAAGCCATTCATTTTCAAATTGGCTAGTTATTTATGAAGCAATAATATTTATTTTTCATAAAGTGACAAGCAGAAAAATATTAAAAATACTTTAAAAAAAAAAAACTTATCTGTGAGAATAACTACACATTTACAGCCTTCTCTCTTAATACTTTACGAATTATTTCCCTTTTCGATATTTCAACACGTTTAATACAAGCTTTTAAATGAAACATAAAACTGAACAAATAAAGGCACGACAATCTTTAGGAAAAACAACAATTATAGTGCTTTACTAGTAAGTTTTATAGGTCACTTTTACACGTAAGTCTACAGGTAACTTTTACCGATAAGTCTTACATGTCACTTTTGCTGGTAACTTCGGCTAATAACTTGTACAATAAAAAAAATGTAGTTAGCCTAACGTATGTGGATATTCTTGCATACACGCATATATGTAAACATAGGCATAAACACATACATTCAAATACACACAGGCAGACTTACAAATAGACATGCACAAATATAGCCCTAAACATGAACAGATGAACATGATACGTTTTTGGGCTGAAATAAATTTCTATTTTATAATCAAAAAAAATTTTTTTTTGTATCCCAGCGATACACACGCCACTTATGTATAAAAAGGTGAAGAAAATAAGAAAGTACAGATAAAAAAAAAGGTATATAAAATAAAAACCAAGGAATTTAAATTGCGAAATAACAAAGGACTATAAAATGACAAAAAATTACAAAGAAAACATACAGTGAGCAGTTTTAAAAGGACTATACAAGTAAATATGTTCAAAAACGAACAATAAAAAAGGATTATATAAAATGAGTAAGAAGACCATAACCAAGAAACATGGATGATATAAATAGACGAGAATGCTAAACGAATGACAATGTAAATCACTACTCTTTCAATATTCCATGAAGTTCTTTTCTGGAAGTTCCTACAAACTAAGATATATATTCCAACGTTTAGTTTTTGTTTTTTATTTGTCTGGCCTTCTGACTTGAAAACACTAAACATTTAATACGTAGCTCTCTGTTTTCTACAATGGATCCTAGTGATTTGAATTTGGCCTAGCAGAGTCTGCACTTTGGTTTAGGCCCCTCGGTCCAGTCGGCTCAATATTGAGACCTAAGATAAAAAATAGAATGTTGTAACAGCTTTTATTAATGGAGTAGATTTGCAACGTATATATGATCTATCTGAACCTTCTATGCTGCATCGCGGGAGGTTTAGTCCATGACGTAATACTCTTCACCTAAAGGAATGTACAAAACTTGACAAAAACAAACAAACAAACATTGATGTATATTAAATAAATATTTAATACAAGAACAAGGTCTGCAGGTACAACAGTAGTAGAAAGAAAGGTGTAAACGTAACGGCGCCTGGTGATTACAAATGCCCAACCTGTGACCCGCAGCTCTGCATCAAGGATTGGCCAAACAAGAAATTGCAAAGGGAAAAGATCGTCTCTCCAGACGTAAAATGCCATAGAGGTCTGCAAAATGTAAGTATTCATGTAACGACAGGTGTGTCTAACATCCACTCGAAGCTACGAATTGCTTGTTGGAACAGAGCTCAGTCCTTAAGCGAGGACTAGCTGGACTCAAGTTTCATAGGCTTTATAATCATCCTTCTTCCTTTAATGCACTAACATTCGAAGGGATGAAATAACCAGTCCTATGTCTCAGTAACTATGCAGTGTTTCGTGGATACTCTGAAAGTGATACTCGATAAACACTACTACTAAGACTGCTATATTAGACCTTACTGGAAATATGCTGTGAATTACTTCCGTTACAAAAACGCGGTGGCCAAGTGGTAAAGCGATTGGCTTCCAAACCGGGACTCCCGGAATCGAATCTTGGTGAAGACTGTGATTTTTACTTTTGGGATCTTTAGGGCTCCCCGGAGTCTATTCAGCTCTAATGGGTACCTAACATTAGTTTGGGGGGGGGGAGGCGGTTGGTCATTATGCTGGCCACATGACACGCTCGTTAACCGTGGGCCACAGAAACAGTTGACCTTTACATTATCTGCCCTATAGATCACAAGATTTGAAAGGGGAACTTTACTTTTTTTTTTAAGAGGATGCTGGGTCGACACAAAAGAAAGATGCTGCCCATGGCTGCCACTCATTAAAATTGAAGTTACAAAAGGGACACATTGATACCTTACGATTTCACTGGCTCCTATATACTGTTATAAACGAAACTTTATGGTATTTACCTTGCGATTGCTCTGAAGTCGTTTTTCTGTCCACTGGGATGGTAGGCGGAAGTAGCATCGATGGCTGGACATTGTTATTTTGAGCACGCTGCAGTATCCCAGATGGTTGAAGATCTAAGAAAGTTGAATTTGATACAGATAAACACTAGCCCATGGGTCGTTGGCGTCAAAAACAGTGACCACAATTCTTACAGATTAATTTGGTGTTATTTTCTAAGCTCAATTTTATGTATAAGATACAAAATTTTTTTAGTATTCCGTGATATAAGTATGTTCTGCTAAACCAAACAAAATAAAAGTTCCACAACTGGACCAACATAAGAACAAGCAAACTCGGAAAATACAAGGTTCTTCAAATAAGATAGTCCGAAAAAAATTAGCAGATTTTCGGTGAAAGACTCGTCAAACATAGTACTGTAAATGTGCAGTTTCACCTGTTTTATTTCAGGTCTTTTCGTTATCGGGTCTAATCCCAAATCCCCATATTTTGTTTTCTATCAGTTACAATTAAATTCACAGCTCAATACTGTCAGTTGACTTTAAGAGAACTGAAAACGTTATTTTTGAAATAGCAATAAGTAAGAGAAAAAAAAAAGAATAGAAAGAGTCGTGAAGAAATGTAGTGGGGAAATAATGGAAAGTAAAGAAAAACGTGATGAAAGGAAAAAAAGGAAGAATATAAGATATTTTGAAAGAAAAAAAGATTAATTACATAAAGTCGTATTGAAAAGACAACTGTTCTAATTCGTAAAAATTAATTTGTACCACAATCGAAAGAGCTTAGTAAAGTGCTCACTAATTATGAAATGCCTTATTTAATTACTTTACTTATCACAATACATGTACTTCCGTATTAAGAAACCGGATACACAGAAAAAGTTACAGATAGAGACAGCCTCTATATATGAAAATCTCTAATATTGTAAAAGAGTTTCTATTGCTTCATTTATTCTCGCTCAGATTTCAAAAGATTTTAAATAATAATTTTTTCAGCGTTGATATTAGCTAGAACGAATCTAATAAATCAACGCTACACATTTGATAGATTAAGATGAAGAAGTAAAATATATTTCTCTAACTTCAAAAAAATTCCTCCTTTATACAGCTGACCATCTTTTGTAAGAGCGATTTTTTTTCCTTGTCCCTATTTCCCCCCTTCCATTCTCTCTCCCCCCCCCCCCCCAAAAAAAAAAAAAAAAAAAAAAAACTGGTTAAGCGAATGTGTAAATCTACTAAGAGTTTATAAAATTCGAGTGATCAAGACTTAGAAGATGGTGCGCAAAATATTCCTGAACATCTATTTTTTTATTTGACTATGATTTCACTCCTTAATGAAGACATGCGAGAATACCCGCGACGTATTTCTAAAATATAGATTGTCTGGACCACTAGCCAGATTTTAATTTTTTATTCTAATTTGAAAAAAATTAAAACTGTCAAACTAGTTTTCCTAGTGTGGCCACTTAGGTAGTAATTCTTTCCCCAAAGATATAAATGCATTTGTAATAACATTGTTTGATCAGTTTTCGAGAACCGTTTCCATCCAGGTTCCACCCAACCATCCAGGTTCCACCCAACCACTCAGGTTCCACCCAACCACCCAGGTTCCACCCAACCACCCAGGTTCCACTAATGAATTCAAAAGCTAAATAGAGAAATTGTAAAAACAGAGTTTAGATTTAAATCTAGATTTTGTATCTATTTATTTAGTGTAGCAAAAAAATGCCTACCTAGTGCAAAGATAATTTGTCGTAAAAATATTTGACAATTAAAGTACTAAGAGGATATATAGGTATAAAGTGCTATATGAAGAAGTAAGGTATACACACTTTGCCCTGGTGGAATGTTAGGAATTCGTTGGTCGTCATCCACCGGTTGAGCAGTTTGGTTATTGATGACAGTATTTTGAACGTCGATTCTTTCAGCTTTAGAATAGAAACACTTATTACACAGACATTACTGTAAAGTAATAGAGTCCTCTTTGACATTGTAAGCCTCTTTTGTTATTTCCTACATCTCAAGCGAAATTAGTCATGGGAAAGGGACACAATCTGTAATTGAAAACAATGTATGCTTAGAGTTACCAGACATCTGGGATAAGGAGTCCACCCAGCTATAATGGATGCCTGACATTAGTCATGGAAAAGTAAAGGTGGTTGGTC